TAAAATAATGTATCATGGCTTTTCCAACTGATTAGACGTTTTAACTGTCCATATGTATTTGGATGTGCTAGGTAAGAGGGGATACTCATATAATTTCCAAGTTCGAGAACACATAGATATAAACTTGTCTTTTTACAGATAATTCAATATACAAATTTTATGCAAATCTGGCATTACTACATACGGCATAAGCCATTCAAACTTTAATATTAATATTTTGAAATCTTCCCAGGTTGCTACTGCCTTGAAATCAGCAGCATTAACATTAACTGGAATTTGCAACACGGCATCTGTGTCGTTTCTTGCTCTTGTAAGTATAAGCTCATGTTTTACATTAACAATTATCTTATGATAGTCTTCAGCAAAACCTAAAATCATATTCAGTGGAAGTATAATGTTCGAGGCGTATGCGTTAGCACACACTAGGCTCGGATAGGGTGATTGGGAAGACACAATAAAACACAATAAAATTAAACAGCATAAAATAACAACTTTGAATGTCACTCAAAGGCCAAGAAAACCACAGTTAATATTTACAAAAATAGTAAAGGTCAAAATAATACAGGAGAAAAAAAATAATGTCTATAGTCTTAAAGCAATGAACTATTGAAATATATAAAAGCGAAGAATGTAGAAAGAAAAGAGTCAAGTTGAATAACACAATATGTAAACACACACTGACCTTGAGATCGCAAGAGAGTTTGAAAGTTACACGAATAAATGTGAAAATGAAAGCACTGATATAATATAACTGATTGAAATATTGATTAACGAAAAACGATTGTCTGTAGAAATGCACAATTACTGTCTCTAGAAATACAAAATTACTGTCTGTAGAAATACACAAGAGTTTCACTGAATCTTGCTGTTGATTATCACTGGTAGTTTGATGAGATTAACTATTTGAGCTGGTCTGCAGATTATGCAGTAAGCAACTTAAACAAAGCACTAAGTGCACTGCACTGCACAACTGAGTTTTGTCCACTGTATTGAGAGAGTTAATCAGAAGATTTACACTAGCATTTAAGGTGATGTATGCACCTTTGAATGCTAGAGTTTGGCAACGTAAATTAAGAGAGTCTATCTTCGACGAGAGCTGAGTATAATCTGGCGCTTACAGTATACAAGGCTTGCCGCGTGAATACGCACACACACACCTGCAGCACGCCAAGTCGAACAAGCGCACACGCACAGAGCGTTGGGCCGACAGAGACTACAAGTGTACACAATGTACACAAAAGCCGGGCCTACTGTCGGTCGCTCTCATTTCCAACACATAATAATAAAGGAGCCGTTATTACTAGTAAGATCATCATATTCTCCAACACCAAGCAGACCTGCATTAATCACAGATTTTTTATCAGGACAAAGCGATAGCCAATTTTTCATAAGGGTTGTTTATCTAACATTTTTGTACTTGTCCACCTCTACAGCATTTATCTCATACCTTATTTTTTCAAATAAGTGGCAGATGGCCTTGTTTATCAATGCAGTACTTGTTACTGATGTATTTATATCTGCCTTGACCAATCTTCCATAAACATTTAAAAAACTTCTGGATGGTAAAAGACACAAATCTTGATGTTAAATTGAAATACGAATTACATCGCTGTTACCATACGTTGACAATGCATACGGTTAATAAGCATGAATCTCATAGTACCCAATAGGTTTATTCATAGATGTATAACAATAGAGTGCACGACCAAGCCAGAGGGGACGTAAAAAGGTACGAGAGAGAACGCATTCTGTGTCATGACTCCTGATTGGCTGTTCCAGTCCCCCGACCCACACCCCGCTGATATCACCAAAAATCTGTTTACTATCTATATGTAATGTACATGATTTATAAAATTGGTTTGTTAAACATCTAGTTCTTAAAATACAATACAATACAATACACTCTTACAGCTCTATATTATTATCATCATCATTATCAACATCAACTCATTCCATATTAAGGTAAAATTTTTTTATACGCTTCACATTATAAAGAGCAGACATAGATTTGTAGGCTCCGTTAGGATGTGTGCAAGTAGTAACCAATCTCAGGAGTTTAAACGGTGGATAGTATGTCATATCAGTAACTTTATAGCCAAATCATTCAAGCCACTTTTTTTTTAATCTCAAACAACATGTATCTTTGTAACATGTCCCAGGTTAGTCCGTAATATCAAAGTTCAAGGTATAAATTTTCATGTCTACACTTTTATGGTATTTTCGCCAGGTAAAAAGTGCTTTAAAAAGAAATTTGTATGCTTCTGTATCGTTAGTAATGAGCAGAAGGATAGCCAATTCTTTGAGCACATAATCATTACCCGATTTATTGAAACCTTGCATGTCCACAAAATACTCCATCTTACTCTATTATAATTTTTAATTTTATTGTTTTTGTAAATTTTTTTATAACTTTTATATATAGGGCACAACAATTTGGTTTAATACTTATCAACAAGGTTTTTCAGTCCAGATTTCTTATTTCTATCATCATCATCTTTAGTTGAAATTTCTTGATACTTAACATTAGTTGTAAAATGACTTCTACACGGTTTACGTGACATATTGATTAAAGTAGAGCTTATTAAACACATTAATTTTTCAAACAGTTTTACAGTCTTTGTCTTTTGATTTTTCCTCCGATTTTATTTTTTCAACCTTTATGTCGTTCTTCTCATTTCTCCTCATAAATTTTTTTCACTCTTCTTGTCGTCGTTTATTTTTTGCTTCTTTTTTACTCTAGCTATTACTCTGACCTTTATCCATAGTAGTTGAAAATAAACTGATGCTAGCAAAGCACTGAATCGACTTGACCATTTTTCAATGACTCGTTTTGTTTGAAACTATAGAGGACGATTAAAGGTATTCGATTGAGAAAGTGATATTTGCCTAGTGAAGGTGCAAAATCTTTGTCATAACATGAATTTCAAAAATTATCATACACATGATATAGCAATGCATACTGATTACGCGTTATATCAAGATTCAGATCACCATAAGGATAATATTATGAATTTAAATAGTTTCATATTTCTTATGTTGCAGTGATCAAACATACTGGAGCTTATGTCTTTCTGACTTTTACGGTTAGTTTGAAAGGCTAAAATAATGTATCATGGCTTTTCCAACTGATTAGACGTTTTAACTGTCCATATGTATTTGGATGTGCTAGGTAAGAGGGGATACTCATATAATTTCCAAGTTCGAGAACACATAGATATAAACTTGTCTTTTTACAGCTAATTCAATAAACAAATTTTATGAAAATCTGGCATTACTACATACGGCATAAGCCATTTTAACTTTCATATTAATATTTTGAAATCTTCCCAGGTTGCTACTGCCTTGAAATCATCAGCATTAACATTAACTGGAATTTGCAACACGGCATCTGTGTCGTTTCTTGCTCTTGTAAGTATAAGCTCATGTTTTACATTAACAACTATCTTATGATAGTCTTCAGCAAAACCTAAAATCATATTCAGTGGAAGTATAATGTTCGAGGCGTATGCGTTAGCACACACTAGGCTCGGATAGGGTGATTGGGAAGACACAATAAAACACAATAAAATTAAACAGCATAAAATAACAACTTTTAATGTCACTCAAAGGCCAAGAAAAATCACAGTTAATATTTACAAAAATAGTAAAGGTCAAAATAATACAGGAGAAAAGAAATAATGTCTATAGTCTTAAAGCAATGAACTATTGAAATATATAAAAGCGAAGAATGTAGAAAGAAAAGAGTCAAGTTGAATAACACAATATGTAAACACACACTGGCCTTGAGCTCGCAAGAGAGTTTGAAAGTTACACGAATAAATGTGAAAATGAAAGCACTGATATAATATAACTGATTGAAATATTGATTAACGAAAAACGATTGTCTGTAGAAATGCACAATTACTGTCTGTAGAAATACACAATTACTGTCTGTAGAAATACACAAGAGTTTCACTGAATCTTGCTGTTGATAATCACTGGTAGTTCAATGAGATTAACTATTTGAGCTGGTCTGCAGATTATGCAGTGAGCAACTTAAACAAAGCACTAAGTGCACTGCACTGCACAACTGAGTTTTGTCCACTGTATTGAGAGAGTTAATCAGAAGATTTACACTAGCATTTAAGGTGATGTATGCACCTTTGAATGCTAGAGTTTGGCAACGTAAATTAAGAGAGTCTATCTTCGACGAGAGCTGAGTATAATCTGGCGCTTACAGTATACAAGGCTTGCCGCGTGAATACGCACACACACACCTGCAGCACGCCAAGTCGAACAAGCGCACACGCACAGAGCGTTGGGCCGACAGAGACTACAAGTGTACACAATGTACACAAAAGCCGGGCCTACTGTCGGTCGCTCTCATTTCCAACACATAATAATAAAGGAGCCGTTATTACTAGTAAGATCATCATATTCTCCAACACCAAGCAGACCTGCATTAATCACAGATTTTTTATCAGGACAAAGCGATAGCCAATTTTTCATAAGGGTTGTTTATCTAACATTTTTGTACTTGTCCACCTCTACAGCATTTATCTCATACCTTATTTTTTCAAATAAGTGGCAGATGGCCTTGTTTATCAATGCAGTACTTGTTACTGATGTATTTATATCTGCCTTGACCAATCTTCCATAAACATTTAAAAAACTTCTGGATGGTAAAAGACACAAATCTTGATGTTAAATTGAAATACGAATTACATCGCTGTTACCATACGTTGACAATGCATACGGTTAATAAGCATGAATCTCATAGTACCCAATAGGTTTATTCATAGATGTATAACAATAGAGTGCACGACCAAGCCAGAGGGGACGTAAAAAGGTACGAGAGAGAACGCATTCTGTGTCATGACTCCTGATTGGCTGTTCCAGTCCCCCGACCCACACCCCGCTGATATCACCAAAAATCTGTTTACTATCTATATGTGTATATTATGCTGTATATATATATACATATATATATACATGTATATATATATATCTTCCTAAATTATATAGTTGTAAGGGCAGGGGTTTTCTGTGATCAACAAGGCAGATCCCCCGGGGTGAGGCTCTCTCATTGCACTTTGACTGAGCTGACCCCTGCAAATATCTCTAAAGTAGATGTCTCGGGTGTATTATTTTTGGTAGCTCGTGTAAGTTTTTTTCGAGAATTTTAAAAATGTTTTTTTGTTTATTGTTTAGCTGAGCATACATCGAATGGAACGTATGTTTACAGAATGATACTTCCTCTGCGTCATCATTGTTTTGTATGTTAAGTTTAGGCGGTACAGGTAAATTAAATGATTTACATGATTTATCTGCAAGTTCAAAAATTTCGTTGATGTGCAGAAGAGCACAATTTTTTTTATTATGAATGAAATCTTCACAAAAAAAGTTCCTATACTTATTCCAAATTTTATTGCCTTGTATATTCTCTGATATTAAAAACAATTCAAAAAATTTTCTCAATTGACGAAGCATGCAAGTACTAGCTTCTTGGAAAATATTGTTCATCCGTAAATGATACTCGATTAAATCCATGGCAATCGTAGTATCTTTGAATGTTTTATATTTTATATCTTCGAATTTTTTTAAATCTTCAAATGAAGTTGCTCCATTTTCTTTTATTTTTTATTAATTTTCAAAAGAATCTGTCATGGTCTTTTAGTGATACTGTATTTAATCTACCTATTACAGTATTTTACATTTTTCTTTTTCTTTTTACCCAACTTTTTAGTTAATTATTAAAAGTATAGTTTTCTGGAGTATTAGGATACTTGAAAGATTTTGCAAAATTGCCAATTTTATTTCATTCAAACCAAATTGTTAGATGCGTNACAGACTAGAATTCTCTTTGGTAAATAATATATAAATGACTTATTAAATGTGAGATTTAACAAGAGAGAGTAACTTACTATATTTGTCCTTAAAATATTATTAATTTGTTACGAAGCATGCGCACTCTTTTATTATTATCTTTAAGGATAGTACTCTCATGTTTTAATCGAATATCTACATATTTTTATATAATGGAAAAGATTAATTTACAACGATGATCTAAATGATTATCGCTAAAAGTATCGTTCGAAGGATTCTTTAGTACGATTCTAAATAATTATTAATATCGTTATCAAATAAGTTAGTCTTCTTTCTAATTGCTTCTTCTGTTTTCATGCAAATAATAAAAACATCTTCTGCAGCAAAATGCAAGCCACCACGATTTTTTAGAACAAACAACTGTATTTGTATGTGCCGTTAGATCCATCAATCAAATCTCAATATTTCTATCAGCTTTCTTGTTTTTGTATTATATAAATTATACTACCTGCCGTATATTTGATTGTTTTATCAGTGTACACAAAAGGATTTTATTTTGGTGATTTGCAATAATCATGATTGAAATAAGGCTGATTTTCTTCGAGGATAAGAGCAACATCTTTAACATTTATTTCTATCTTAGTTGTATGTTACACTCTTGTTCTCTATATCATTGTTGGACGATTCCACGTTACCAAGTTCAAAGCTGTCTGTAGATGAAAGTAAAGTAGGATCTAAAGGTAAACAGTTTGCTAATTAAGACACGTTAACATCGAGCTTATTAGACAATGACTTTCTAATCGCTGATAAGTACTGAGTCACTGTGGAGTTATCATTAAACCCGTTCATTCGTCGTAAACAAAAAATAAAATATTTCTACGTGATCATCTGACAGTTTGTAACTTAAAAGATATTCAATAAAATTGCTTTCGAGTAATTGTTTTGCAAGTGAATCCAAGTTTTTCAAGATAATGATAAAACCAACGAATTTTGTACTAATTGACTTACAATGAACAACTGATTTTGTAATGATTTTATATGTACTGTTTGTTGCACTGTTTTTCTTTTTCTTTTCTTGTACAGGTACATCAATATCCCAATTTTCAATATAATCAATACATGAATCAATCATTTCCTTTAGTTTTGGTAACGAGCTTTTATCTATTCTACATCTATTTGGCGCTTTCGACTTCTGCATTCTGAAGTTCAAGACATCAAACATGGTATCGAAATTTTTGCAAAAAGTAGCAGTAGCTGAAGCATTTGTAAAATTAGGATCTTTTAAATTGTATCTAAGTAACTGTAAGGCTGTTGCAGTACTAGTACTTGATAAGTGTGCGGCCCAAAAAGACTTTCATCTTTTCACTAATGAAATCAACATGCCTACTGCGAATTTTGCAAGCCCAGAGCAACTTTTCTTTTTCTTGCTTAGCATGTAATAAACGAATGAATTTCCAATCTATAGCTTTTCCATCGTGAGTTATTGGACTTTCCAACGCGAAATAATTACGGACAAGCTTCAAACAGTAACACGCGTCGTAAAATATATAAAGTGGCTGAGAAGAACATGTATGTGGAACAATGGATTTGAAGTTTGCTTTGTCTTTATAGTTTAAATTCGTGCCTAGCAATTCGCAAGCAGTTTCATCGCTGCCATCGCCGTCAAATGTAATACTGCACACATTGATACCACTATTATCTAACGTACTTAGTAAGTCTCTCAGTAATACTGATTTTTCAGATCCAGTTAAAAAATCAATCAAATGATGAGCAACAGGTACTTTAAAATTTCGATTTATGTTGACTAACATGAAAGCTAAAGCTTTTCCAGCCTGTGCTTTTTTATTTTTTTTATTGCCTTCTTTTAAAAAGGTTTGGGAGAAAAGTTATAAATGGAAAAACGTACCAAAAAAAATGTATGTTATATTTGAGCATATTAGGAGTGCACATGAATTTTTTCAGATTTTTCACCAAGGGAAATTTTCGAGAAAAAAATTATGAAATATTGACAGTTCAAGACGGTCTCTTATGAGAGAGAAAGGTTAAGTTTACCTTTTAATTGAAATTAAGGTATATTATAAGTGTGTTTGAAAAAAAAAAAACGTTTTCATAGATACGTTGGTACAAAAGGAAGTTGAACGACAATAAAAATCAAGCCTTGACCGTCATTTTTCAAAAATATAAGCAGTCACAGTCGTACAATTTCAAGTTTGTAGACTGCAAGAGGAGGTGCGCGGTAAAGGTGACCCAGCTGCGTGGGCAGGGGGGACTCCCCTCCTCGCCTCTGTGAATGATACTCCTAAACCTCCTTAACTGACTACCTATGTCAACCAGACCTTTCCACTGATAAGTGTTCTTGTCCCATTCTGTCAATTTCTTTATGTGCATCTCATCAAACGTTTAATTGAAAATAAGATTTTAACTCTTCATTCTCTCATTCTTCACAAGATCTGCAACATTTTCAACAATTTGCTGTGATACACCGGGTTCAAAGTTACGTGATCCTATCCACTTACGTAGGGTATGTGGATATGGTAAACAGTTTAAAAATGAACGCCGAACACCTTCATATGCCGCTGGTGAATGAAAGTGAAGAGTTTTTTCGAAGCTTCTTGAGTGTGTTGGATAAGGAGTATTGGCTTTGTTGTTTCTTATGCGATCGATGAGTTCTTTGACATGTGAAAGTAATTCCTGTTGAATGTGGAAAATACATACTTATTAAATGAAAAACAAAAAAAAAACTTAAAATTTCTGGCTGGCCCATATTTTAAAATAATTAAAGAGTTAAATACGTAGTTAAACTTTTTTCATTTGTATTCAAAGAAATCAAGTGTATAGAATAAATAGTTAAAAAATGGATGATTAAAAAAAATTATACTATCGATAAAATTAAAATGGAACTATAAGTAGTACACAGTTGGTATTTTTTCGAAACCTAGGCATATTTCATGAATTGACCACATTTGAAACTTAAGTAAACACTTGCAAATACTAAGCATCGCTATTCTCCGCATTTTCTTTTAAATGAGTAATGACACCATTCAAATTCAAGAAGCTCTTCTGTTGACGACTGCTATTGCTATGTCCTGCTGCTATTTTCTTTTTCATTGAAATATTATATTTCATAAACTTATTCCGCGCTTCATCGGATACAAAGTTGTTTCTTGATATGTGGTCTGTTTTGTGCCCATCAACAAATTTAATTTTTTTTCGGGGATTGCTGTCAACAAAATTGATTTTCCTGTCATAGAAAAAAGGAATCGAAAAAATTCAACTTTTTTTTCGAAACAAATAAAAAATACCTTTTCAATGTAATAATTTTACTGCTCCTTGTTATTGCATCAATTGGTGAAGTGGACGATGCATCGGTATCGTTTTTTGTAGTAACATCAGAATCAGAATCATTGGTGACTGATTTATGTTCCACTAGTGGTTAAGATTTTAAACTCCTAAAAAACATATATTAAAAAGATTTTTTTTTCTCTTTTCTCACAACTTTATTACCAGAGAAACTAAGTCGTGGAGCTTAATCTCTACATATTTTATTGCTGCAAAAATACAAATACATTTTCTACTTATTTAAAAATCTGAATTTAGATCTTTAAAGATTTAAGAAATTACTGTAAGGGTACAATGAAAAGGTGATCTCTCACAAAATAGATTCTTTATTAGTCGATTTTGACGCTGCTGCTCCAATCTCGATAAATTTTCTGCATCAGTTTCTTGATGCCTAAAATTGTATTTATTAGATACATTTAAAGTTTTCCTTCCAATTCACCCTCTTGCGACTATTGGCATGCTTACGACTTTTGTGACCCCTAAAGGCTATTTTCTGTCAACTTTGTTAAGTTCAAATATATTTGTTGGCAAGGTAGTTCGACGTCCGATTGCCCTAAAAAAGACCGGTGAGATTCTTACGTAAACTCTTTTTGACTAAAGTTTACAGCAATTGTGACTGCCTGGATACATCAGGGTGATCTTCTCTGGCATGCTGTTGAAGGCCCAGACTGGTCGAGAGAAAAATTACCAAGTCCGAAGCTTTGGGGCTAGTTGTAGTGCTCTTTCCCAACGTCCTCTGGTATAACGTCGGAGACGTTGGTGTCTAAAGCACCTTTTTTTTGCAGACTCAGTTGTTTTGATGATATAAGGTAGAGATATTATAGTAGAGATTGGTTCGTGATGCTTGCCCGTTGGAGACTTCCGTTGGGTCAAGTTTATTCTTCCTTCATAGCTGTAGGGTTCGTACAGCGCAGACCTTGGAAAGGATCGGTAATTCCTGGTTGAATGCTTAGAGTCAAGAGGGTAATATAGGGTTGTCACTGGGATTTCAAGCCTTGCAACGAACAACTCCA